GACAGTATTTGCTATTCTTCCTCGCCAGCAGACTCAGGGCCATGTGGCCCTTGGGGAGCCATCATCCTTGTGAGGCTTTTCCACATCATAGAATAGAAATTGTCCCAGCTGTGGGTCCCCAAATCCCACTGCATTCATTCAGCAGCAGCAATCTGCCCACTGATGGCTCCAAGATCCACCTAACGTCTCTTATTCCTGGGCAGGGCTTCCCGATGACCAGATCCAGAAGGGCAAGGATGTCAAGAGCATCTCAGAAATTGTGCAGGATGGGAACAAGTTCAAGATCACCGTGACCACTGGCTCCAAAGTGCTGAACAACGAGTTCACCATTGGGGAGGAGTGCGAGATGGAGATGCTGACAGGAGAGAAAGCCAAAGTGAGTGATCAGCTCCTCCTCTGCCAGGGCTGCAGGGTCTCAGGGACATTAAATTGCCTTTCCAGCCATTCCCCCTGCAATTGGGCCACAAGGAATGACAAGACTACGGGTTTTAAGCTGACGCAGGGCAAAGACCTGGGTAATTCCCCAGACTGGTTCTGTCTCTCACAGTTTGCATGCATGATTTAGTATAATGGGAAGGGGCTAATTGCTGAAACCAAGCATGCAGATGTGACTCCCGCTGCCCTGCTCCCTGCAGGTCCCCAGCAAGGCTCTTAGGGACACATTTCTGAAAATGACAGTCCATTTCTGAGCCACCTTCCTGAGAAACTCAGAGTTCCCACCTCCCATCTTTGCTTTTACAAAACACTGTACAACCTCCCCAACCAGCACTTCTGCAGCTGAAGCCTTGCATTTCTAAAGCTATTTTAATAGCCAGTTTGGACAACACTGGACCCCAGTGTTTTAATACCCGTTTGGAAAAGGGGGACAGAGATGCTTTGGTAAATCCTTCTGACAGCAAAAGGTCTGAAAGATTTGAGGTGGAAAAGGGTTGACTTTCTGTAATATTGCAACACAAAACATACCCCCACCTTCATTTTGTGACTTAAAGGTAGTGCAGGGAAGTCAGCCAATAAATCATAAACCAATAAATCTCTCCTTTTAAGTCCCAGTGGTGCTCGGCTTCTACGCTAGCCTTCTCCACTGCTTCTGTTTACACTGGGTGAGATGATTTGGCAAGGTGAGGATTTATCACCCTTGAAATTGGGTCAGCTCCCATTCCTGGACATTAGTTTCCAATGGTTCATAAAATGTCAAGACGGTGCCACTGGCAAATATTGCCTCTCACCTCTACCTCAGGAGAAGATGATGTTGCAGGGACTTTTGAAAGCAGGAGGAATGATTACCAAAGAAATGCCCCTGTGAATCGGGCTCTGATAGCTGTACCGGCTGTATCATGATTTTCAGCATCACTGAAGTCCCTTGCGCATAAACTAGGGGGAAACAGTTATTAGAAGAGTTTCACCCTCCATAAATCAGCAACTCAAGGGCATATGAACATGTCTTACAGCTGGACAGACAGATGAATGGAAATTTTTTTTGCTGGGTTATTTATTTGAGTAATTTCAATGATCAGTGATAGCTGCCCTGGGGGTGTTGGTGCTGTCTGTAGCATTTTTAGACGTGCAGCTCCTTGGGGGTCAGAGACTCAGCAGATGTGCCCATCCCCATGAGAGCTTTCCAGCCATGACTGTGTTTCTGAAAGCTCCTTCAATTGTTTCCCACCTTGACTGAGACTCCCCCCCACCCCACACTGTTGCCTAGCTCCCATCACCCCAACCCAAGGGAGGTTGCTGCTACAATGTGCAATAGGTGGGTGGTGGAGTGGGGACAACGTGGCATGCCCTGGCCCAGCTCAGGTGACTCTGCAGTCCTCTCCTTGGAGGTATGCAGGTCCTCTTGGTCTTGGTGCTGCATGAGGAGCTGCCCCAAGGAGCATCAGGGCTGCATGGAGGCACCAGCACTGGCAGGTCCTTCTTCTCCCCCAAAACTCTGGCATCTAACAGTGCAGAAGCCATGAGTGATTCTCTGTTTGGAGGGGAGAGAGGTAGGTAGGGCAGCAAAATTGCACCCCTGTGGAGCCCAAAGTAAACATCTATATCCTTGCTGTGTTATAGTCACCACCAGCACAACCCTCTCTCCTCCTCCTCCCAGGAAAGCTCCGAGGGAGCAGCTTGCTCCAAACAGCTTGCACAGGGGACAGTGGCAACTCAGTATAGAAGGGGAAGGGCAAAATGGAGGGTTGATATGGTCTGCAGCAATAACATGAATGCTTCTGTCTCCTCCCCTCTCTACCAGGCTGTTGTTCAGCTGGAGGGTAACAACAGACTGGTTGCAAACCTGAAAGGGCTGAAATCCGTCACCGAACTCAACGGAGACATCATCACCAATGTAAGTGTAGACAAGAGGGGCAATGGCTGGAGTAACAGTGCATACAGCTGCCTTCAGGGTTCTGGCCCTGCAAAGCCTACAGAGATGCTGGGGGCCTTAGAGAGGTGCTGGAGATGAGCACGTGCTCACACTCGGGGTCTGTAGCCAAAGCTGGTCAGTTGGCCAGGCACTGAAGGCAGTTTTTCATTACAGTCTGCTCAAAAAAGTATTCTTTGAGGCCCCAGTAGGCATTTCTCATCAAAGTTTCATGCAATGAGGGCATGTTCTCACCCATCCAGAAGTATATATTTGTGGCTGGGCCTGGCACTTTTAAAGAAGAGAAGTGCAGCAGACTGATCCCAGCTGAGTGATGTCAGATTATCCCTATCTGCTTTGGGGTATTCATGAAGAAATCCAAAGCTTTAATAATTGAGTTTATAGGAGATAGACTGGGGACCAGTCCTGTTTTGATTTGCAGGACCAGATCCTTTCCAAGTAGAGTTTGGAGCCAAGTGCCATGAAAAGCCAATGCTTTCTATTTGTTTTTCAGACGCTGACCATGGGTGACCTCACCTACAAGAGAATCAGCAAGAGAATCTAGAGACCCTGCACACAACAATCATTTTACTGTGTAAAATGTGTCCATTAAAGTAAAATTTGTATTAAAGGCCTCTTCATTATTATGACCAACCTCTTCACTGTTGCTATAAAGAGATGCAAGCCTCCAAAACTCACACAAGCCCTGGTAGAAATTGGGTAACAGGCTGAGCCAAGGCTGTGCTGATGTCAGTGAATGGAGCTGGGCTAGGGCGCAGGCTCGGAGCCATTGAGTGACCCTCTGAGATGTGCTCCATGCTGATGAGCACTCTTCCAGCCCCTTCCTGGGGACAGGTGCCAGCATCCTGCTGGGGATGTCCCGGTGGGTCATGCACCCACGGCTGCTCTGGCTGGGTGGGTGGAGGAGCACTGGGCAAGGAAAGGGCTCTATTCCCTTTCCTTACAAACATGGCCAAAGTGACCACAAGGTGACTGACAGGGCCAAAGGATGGGGAGGTTTAGGTGGGCTCAAAAAATGTCAGTGATCCTGCCAGGAAAGTTGCCTTGGGGAAGCAACAGGCATGGGGGCAGTTCAGGTGTGCCAACCACCATCCCCATCCTCACACCTCTGCAAAAGGATCCAGCCCTATAGGCTCTGGCCACTCCATCCCCATCTCCTTCCCATCCCTTCCCACCAGCAAGAGGGCCCTGGACAGCCTGCACGTGTCAGTGTGTGTTTCGCCCCAAACCGCACCCGATAAATTAGGTTGAACTGAAATTGAACTATCCTTCCAGGGTGAAATACAGGTTTTCTCTCCTGGCAGGAGATGGGCACTGGTTGTTCACATTGTAGATGAAGAAGGAGCACCACAGTCATCTCCCATGCTCTTGCTTGGCACTGCAGGCTGGATGGAGCTGTGGTTTTCGGACCCACACAGGAGATGAAACCGTTCTTAGCTGCCTTTTCCAAGCCCTGTGCTGGGAAAATTGTCACTGGGAAATGGGTGTATTGCTAGTGTGATATACCTAGCTGGGATGATGTTCCACTCAAAGCTGATCAGGATGTTAGGAAAACACCACCAGTGCCTACTCACCTCTTCCTGTAATGCCAATACGTGCCACTAAAGGACCAATTTGTCCTCATGTGCATCACTCCCATGACTCCTGTCTCCTCAGGGAAGGTTTTCATGTTACAGGTCAACATTAATCCTCATGCTAGGAACCGAACCAATATGGATTGTCACACTAGGCATCAGGTGGGCACCTCATGGACAAATGGAAAGGCCTAGCTCAACAGCTCCTAAAAAGCAGATGTTGCTCTCCAGTGAACTCATCTTAGATGTGGAGAAACATAAGTAAAATCACTGAGATGTCAAAGAGGGAAAGCCCTGGTTTTGTTTTCTTGCTATTCTGCTAAGGAGCAGGTAGGGGATTCTTGAACAAACCATCCCTTTTCATCTCTCGGCTGCCACTGAAGGTATGGAGCAAACCAGTTGGATTTTGAGATAGATGGGCAAGCAGCAAAGACCTTTTTTTATTTAGAAATCCAACCATTGCCTTTAGACTTTTCATTGGCTCCGCTGGCTGCCCATTGGCAGCTGATCCATTGAATATGCTTTTTTTGCTCAGTGGAAAATGGATTAAGCACCTGTCTAAGCTGAAAGGTATGTCCCCAAAGGTATCAGAGCCCCCAACTCACCCTGAAGGTGAGCAAAGGTGGATCCCCCTCCCTGGAAACTCCTTGTTCAGTCAGAGTAATCCACACAGCCAGTGCACCACACCAGTGCAACTGGATTCTGGCACAGAATCATCTCATATCTATCTGCTGCCATCACTGCAGACATTTTCTGATTTTTAAGTAAGGAGACTAAGTTACCCTTATCAATTTATCCTGATGTAGGAACTCCACTTAATCTGACTTGCAAAGTGGCCACAGTTTGGTGTTGCACCTGTCTCAGCTGCAGAATCATTTTTTTATCAGTTTTTCATCAGAAAAATGCCACTTTACACAAAACACCATCTGCTGGTCTTATTCAGTTTGCACCCAATGCCCACAGGCATACATGACACTTTTTGGAACTAGCTTCCCGCTTCGACAGTCCCTTGGTAAACTGCTCATGGACATCATTGGAAAGAAATGATGATCACAATGAAGTGATGGGAAAAAACACTTAGGAAAGACTCAATTAAAATTTAACCAAGGACTTCAGGATCAGGAGTAGGGTAGAGACAAACAGGCTTCCAATAAGAATGTAAATAATTTTATAACAGGCTTTTTTGCTTTGATTTTTAATGCTAGTGGTAGAAAAAGGATGTTGTTTCTGCCAAGATTTCCTCTGCTTTGAGCCCTCAGAAGATTTTTGAGGACCCTCCCCCAGCGGGTCCATGCTGTCAGACTGCTGCCACTGGAAACAATCCTTATGGATATATCACATTCCTATATCATATTCCCCATGTTTGGAGGTGCCACAGGTGATGTTATCCCACAGCCATGAATTCGTGTCAAGCTTGGGGTTTATTCCTTCTTGTGGAAGAGACTTGGTGAGGGCTCATTGCTGGGTTCAGGCATGACTTGAATCTTTTGGTTTTTGAGGGCAGCTTCCCTCATCTTGTAATACATGAACTCATTCTGCTGGAACATGCGCAGCTCCATCTCCGTCTGGACACGCATGACCTAAGGGACACAACAGGTTATAAAACCTGTGATGCAGGGGATCTCAAAGCAAGTAAATAAAGCGCTGCCTAGAAATGGGGACCAACCTTCAGGGATGTCCTAGGCCATGCAATGACTGATGCAATTTAATCTATGTGTCCCACCAGCAGGACCAAAGCTGACTGGACACAGATATCCAGTTACTTTCTCAAACCTGGTTACCTGTGTACTGTGAAGGTGAAGAAGGCATCAGCCCTTCCTGCATCCAGCTCTTCCGCAGGCTGCTAGGAAGCCTCACGCTCCCAAACCTGATGCAGGACCTAGAACCAGGGAGCAAGTGCGCTTCCCATTCACACCCTGGGCCTGACCCTTGGTGTGACCCATCACCGGGGTGGGGGTCACCTCATGTGGAAGGAGGCAGGAGAGGACGAAGGGGATGCTCAGCCCCTCTTCAACCACATCACAGTTGCACCCCCTGCATCCTAGGATTCACGGTGAGCAGAGTCATTCCTAGTGCTGCATTATGGCAGAGGCTCAGAATGGATTTTGGGAAACCTTTTTACACCTGTCTGTGAGTTTATTCAACCCTTGGTTTAAGAGAACAGAGATAAGCATGTGCCATATATCCACTATTTCCCTCCTGAAGTAAGTGGGAAAGGAGATACAGAAATGGAAGTGCTGGGGTCTCACCCTCTGCTATATATAGGGAAACAGTCAACAGACAGGTTCGCTTTAGGTACTAGGTACTCATTTTTCTGATGATATATATATCATATATATAATTGCACTAATAAAGGTTATAGCTCAGCTATAATGGGGACTAAGACATCAGTAAAGGATTTCATTTGGTATCGTGCAATTTTTTTGGCTAATAAAGGAGAATGCTGTAAAGCCAACAGGTGACATCAGGTGAGTTAAAGGCTAAAGAAATGATAGATCCCCAGCTGCAATTGTAAATAGTTCATCACAGATGAGCAGATGTAATTTCCTGGGATCTGCAGCTCTTGACCCTAAGCTAGGAAATACACCTATCAGTCATTTGAGGAAAAAATACACTGCAGCTCAGAAGGACTGGGGAGTGGTAAATAAAGAAGAATGGACACCGATAAAGAAAATCAGTTGGTAAACTGGGAACATCCACCATATGTAATTTGATATAGTCAAATGGTAATGGCATCCATCTGAGAGCAGAGAAATCAGGTTGTTTGAAGAATGGGAGGCTCTGTCCTTGGGCACAGCAGTTTCAAAGAAGATTCAGGGGCTCAGTGGCCATTTTCAATGCATGTCCTGGGGCAGGATAAAAGCTATTTTTCAGGGATGAAAATTTCCCATAGGAAAGGACATGTATTTCCCAGCAGACTGTAACATAATCTAGAGAAAACCACAGCACTAGTAAGAAGCAGTCAGTACTTGATGCATCTCTCAGCTCTTATAAATGGGTTGTTTCTACAGCTTGAACGTAATTTTGCCCAGACAGACAGCAGAGACAACACAGATGATGGCACCTACCTCCAGGTCTTTAGTAATTGGGTGGGAAGGTCCATGCGTTACCAGGAGAATGGCATAGGCTTTACAGATCAAGCCATGCCCAGCTTCAATGAGACCAGCATGCCAGTGAGTCACTCCTGCCCGCATCACGGCCATCCCCAGCTGTGCGTTGTTGGGATGGTATATTTTCCTGGAAAAACATTGAGTAATTTTAGTTCAGGAAAGAGCTGGCTTCCCAAATGTTTGTCAGGGACGTGATACGTTTGCCAAAGAGCAGACTGTTTACTCAAGAGCCTGTTGCATTCGGTGCCACAGAAATGTGCAGCCCTGCTTAGAAAGGGGTAGGCATGAGTTACATGAGGACACAGGTTATAAGAGGATGTGAGTTGTTGTGAAAGAGGATGAATGACCTGCGAGTGGGGAAAGCTGGGCACCTGGGTTGGAGAATGC